GTAAAAAGGAAAAATATAACAGTTCTAAATCTAATTTCAAATTAACTGTTTCATAATTAATTTAGATAGACAAAAAATAATGATAAAATCGAAATTAAAAACTTTAACAAAGTTAATTATTGACTGTTGGTTACAGCTCTAGATACGCTTGTGACTTTTCATACTGGATGTCCCCTTGTTCCTGTCTTGCTTAAGGATACATTTTAGTTCGCATTTTTTGCAACAGACATATGCCGTTGCACTATTTTTATAAAATATTTGATAAAATTGGTTCCAAATCTCGCTCTTAAAATTTTGTTTACTTTGTAGCGTGACATCTGGATTTTTTGACAGCATTAAATTAAGGATGAATTCTTTGTCAATAACTTTATCTTTTGTTTCATTTGTTGTTTCTGACAATTCATCATCCTCGTGATCATAATTAGCAGGCATCATTTTATCGAACGACATAACTATAGCGAATTAAAACGATTATTGTAAAATAACAAATGAGTTAAACTACGCTAACCAACCTCTACACAAGAAAGGAAGAGGAAAAGCTAACTAAATCTATCTTAAAGCAACCAAAAACTCTACAATGAAAATTAAATTTAAAAAATTAATTTCATGTGAGATAAAAAAATTGAATTGAAAAATTAGAAACCGCAAATACCGCAGTCAACTAAAATTGCAACCGCAAATAACCGCTGTTTTAATGCGGCTACAAATATTAAAATAGCAACTGCCCACAACCGCGAGAATTGAAACTGCAACCGCCAGAATTAAAACTGCAACCGCCCGTAACCTCGGTTTCGGTTGCACATGGCTCTAACACATTGCACGTGATAGGTGGGAATCTCTTCGCTATCGAATCTGGTAGCTCCAATAGTAGTACCAAGCACTTTACGTTACACCATCGTGCCAACAAATAATTATAGATCGCTCATGATGATGATATGTTAACAATGAAACGACTCTGATTATATCGCATCAGCTTTTTTTTGTTTGCAGGAAACTTACGAGGATTTCAACCGATCAATTTTACTGCATTTGGCCACAAATTAATGCCCAACTGATCTGATGAAATGGTGTGATTGCTACTAAATAAACTAACGAAGACTCGTCAACATTTGGATGTCAGAAAATGACTTTTAATTAATTTTTAATTGAATTATTTATTTATATATTTGTTTATTTATCTCAAAAAGGCCTGTGTAGCTCCGTAAAGAATCGATAAAACGAAAACTCAAGTTAACACGGTTTAAGAACTTTATTAACTTGCAGTATAACTTATTAAAACAAGTATTTACATCAAACTAATAATGAAAATAGTTAAAACATACGAATATAAATGTTTACATTAAATAAAAAAATGAATTAAACTAGGAATGCGAATATATACATTTAAAAAAATGAAAAAAATTTACTACAATTACTTACATCAAGGATAATAAGAATGTTTCTAAAAAAATAATTTTATAAAGTACTCAAAAGAATGTAAATATTTACAATATATAAAAAAATGATATAAAATACGAATGAAAATATTTACATTAAATAAAAATTAAAAAAAAAATACGAATGTTTTTACATCAAACTTAATGAGTGTTTCTGAAAAAATTATAGAAGAGACTAAAAGTTTTTTTAATAATATGCAAAGTTTTCGAAATAACTAAGATGCGACACGTTTCATCTTGTACTTCTTGATAATCTCATTATACTTTTCCTACATTTGTTTGCGGTCGTTGTCGTCATCTTCTTCCTCATGTAAATCGTTGACATCTTGATCCCTTTTTTGTTGTAAGAGTTGTATGTGCCTTCGCTTTCCAACTTTCTCAGTTGCTGCGATATCAATCGGCTCTCCGTAATCAATTGACACGTTTCTACTGTCCAGTTTTACCCATTCTTCTAATTTTAAGTAATATATTTTATTTTTAGTCGATTTTTTTGCAAATGCTCTTGCATGTGGTTCCGCAGTTACGTTTCTGCAGATACTTGAATCGCTCTATCTTTCAAAAATTTGAATGGATAGTCGTTCCTAAACTTTACTTCACAGATTTCGCAAAGCAGTCCTTTGCGCAGATTATTTGTAAGTCTTGGGTCTACTCTGGTAGATTTAACTTTTATTTGAAATTGTTTTAATTTTTTGCTTGTTGTTGTTGTTGATACAATCGGGATATTTGGATTTTTGTACCCGGTCCATTTTTCTTTCAACGTTTCCACATGATCACTCTTTGCTGAAGTCGGTTTAATCAAACCTGTTCGAACCAGATTTTTGAGAAGTTCGTCAATGTTAACGGAATTTAATGCGGGTAGGTTTCCCTCAACATTCGTATTTTCGGAAGCCATGTTATTGCAGTCATCTTCCTCACGTTTCCTTTTTTTACTGGTAGGCACGTATTCCGGTTGCCCTGCAATATGATCTACTTCCTCTCTGGGAAGACAACTTTTTTCGAAGGGAGGTTGAACGAATGATGGTGGAATGAATAAAGGTGAAATGAAAGATGGTAAAATAAATGGAGGCGGAACAAAACGATTGAAGACGAAATTGTTGTTGTTACAATCTAGCCGAATTTGGTCTATATGTAATGTTGTAATTTTTTTGTATTCGACATTATAACTAAAATTAAATTGGAATTTATCTTATTAATAATATTTAAAATAAAATAACTTTCAAATAAATATCATGATAAGATATTAGAATCTAATAGTCGTTTGTTTATAGATTCTAGTGATAATCTTTATCAGAAAAACTATTGAGATGTAAAAATGCTTTTTTGTTCTAAAATAAGTTATACGTAGTTCTTAAAATTGTTGATTTTAACGATGATGTTCAGTTTTATAAGCCGCAAAAGTAAACGCTGAAGAAGTTTTTCAAAAAATGGTGATTAATTCTAAAATGTCAATTTTTATAGAACTAAATGGTTTCTAATTTTTAGAAAATTGTAAAAATAACGTGTCAACTTAAATTGAACATGCGCGGGACAAATCTTTTTACTGCATAAGTTCCCGATTCTAAGTTTAACTAAAAACAAAACAATTAAACATGTGAATATTTGATACAACTTTGAAGGATGGGTTTTTGAAAAGTTTGATTGTAATCACATGTTTTTTACATGTTTAAATATTCGCATATCTCAACAACTTTCTCAGATTTTCCATAATTTTTTTTTCATAATTTTTCATTAAGTAATAAATTTACGTAATCTTGTTAAACTATCAAAGAAAATTATCCATTTTTTGAGATTTTTCAGATAATTTTTAGTTCTTTCATTGTTGTTAAATTTACGCCTTTGATTTATTACTTTGGTTTAATTGCTTTACAACAAGTATTGTAAACATGTTTGTTGAAACTTCAGACCAATTTATGAACGTTCATAAATGATCGCTTCTTTAAAAAATCATATGTTCAATTAAATGTCATTAGCTAATACTCCAGCATTTGAGGTTTATTCTTTGTTGTTTTATTACGAAATGCTGACATTGTTGAAATTGAACTTTTCGGGGAGAAATTTTTTTAAATGAGTTTAAAAATTTAAAACTATCACAAATATTTTGTTAATTCCGAAAGCTACATTTCACTAATAATAATGAAAACAAACAGACGACGAGAATGCGCTCGAAAATATGGTTTGTGATTTCACGTTTCATTTCGCAAACAAGAGCTGCTTGACTCGTGTCACGAGGAAGGTAGGCACACTCTGGTTGACCACAAGGTTTTAAGAAAACTTTTTTCAAACTTTTTATTATTCGTCTTTTGATTTTTTTAAATAGAAATTGAAAAATTGTTTGAAATAGTTGAGATGTTTAAATAATAATATTTCGTACCCAAAACAATTAGTAGGTACACGGTTGGCTTGGAGAGACAATTTTCAAAGTGGTCTATATCGATCTTGCTGCCTCACCTTGAAGCCTTAAACATTCATGAAATGGTAACATTCATACAACTCTTTACTTCAACTCTCCTATCAATATTTTCCAGATGCATCAACGACAACAAACACAGTGAATGCAGAGAGGCGTGAAACAACCCTCAAACACAAATGCATGGGATTTGTGGGGATCTATTTGCGATCGAATCTGTTCACTGCAATAGTAGTGCCAGGCACTTTACCTTTACCCTATCGTGCCTACAAATAAATATCGATTGCTCATGATGATTTGTTAACAGTGAAACGACTCTGATTATATCGCATCATCTTTTTTTTGTTTGCAGTACGAAGGTTTCGATTATTGCAAATGATAAATTTTACTTCATTTGGCCAAAAATTAATGCCCAACTGATCTTATGAAATGGTTTGATGCTACTAAATAAACTAATGAAACTCGCAACATTTAGATGTCAGAAAAGGAGTTTTTTTTAGTTAATTAATAAATGTATTTATTTATTCATTTATTTATATATTTATTTATCTCAAAAGAGTCATTGTAGCTCCGTATTGAATCAATAAAACGAAAACTCAACACGTTTCAAGAACTTTATTGACACGCAGCATAACTCATAAATACAAGTATTTACATCAAAACAAATAATGAAATTAGTAAAAACATACAAATTTTATTATTTAAATTAATTAAAAAATCAAATAAACTACGAACTTGAACATTTACATTAAAAAAATGAAAAAAAATGTGAATACATTACTTACATCAAAGATGATGAAAATGTTTCTAAAAAAAACTAGTTATAAAGAACATGAATGTAACAATTTACATTAAATAAAAAAATGAAAAAATACGAATGTAAATATTTACAATAAATAAAATACGAATGCAATTATTTACATTAAATAAAAAATTCTAATAAAATACTTGTGTAACTATTACCTTAAATAACAAAAAATCTAATGAAATACGAATGTAAATATTTACATTAAATAAAAAAATGTAATAAAACACGATTTACATCAAAGGTAATGAGTGTTTCTGAAAAAATTAAAGAAGGGAATAAAAGTTTTTTCAATTATGTACAATGTTTTCGAAATAGATTAACTAAAATGCGACACGTTTCTTTTTGAACTTCATTGCAATTTCATTATGCATTTCCTTTTTTTGTAGAATGTCGTCGAGGTCGCGTCGTCACCTTCTTCCTCATGTACATCGTTGACATTTTTATCATCTTCATCCCTTTTTCTCTTTCGTCGTAAGAATTTCGCACTGCACCAACGACTAAAATTCATTTATTCTTTAGTTCTATTTTATTCTTGAATCAATTTAGATTTTTAGCAACTGGTCAAAAAATCTGAAATATCAAAAAACTTACCGAAATTCGTCAAAACTTTCCAAAACTTCCTCAATTGAACAAATTTTTTTACCTTAAATAAAACAACGCAAAAAATTTAAATAAAGATTTTTTTGTTTGAAAATAAAACCAACCATGCTATTGTCTGTAGTTTAATCACAAATTTTCAGTCATGTTTTAACACGAAATCTCATAATTTTCATCTGCACGCACACGCACAGCTAGTAATTGTCATTCAAACTACAATAATATATCAAATGATATCAGTGTGAATATAATATTTCAGTGAAACATCGCAAACCAATAGCAGCGAACTTATGAATAGTTACGTGAAAATTGTCGAAGTGTGGAAAACTCTTTGTTAAGAGTTTAAAATAAGCGCTACAAAATTTAAGAACTTTGAAAAAATATTGATTCTTTTTCTCTTTTTAGTAAAACCTCTGACATACGTCATCGTTAATATCTATTTCCTCTCACAATTTAAATTTATCAACATCTTGCGACAGCCTCACCGCAACTTCAACATCTCACCAGTCGACGATATCGCCATGATGACCGTCCGCGTGGTTGAAGAAGTCGGTCCAGTTTTCACTGTTTATGATGACGTCATCTCGTCTCTCGGCATCATTATTATCACAACCGCCACGACCATTATCATCATTATTATTTCTACCATCATCACGAATTTTTCCGGTTCCGGTGACATGATCGTTCTTGATCACCTCTCTAATGGTGTACCTGGTTCCATCATCATCAGCACCATCATCATCGTCGTCGTCATCAGCCACGTCATCACCTGGTTCACTATCACCTCCTCCAGCCCCAACACTAACTTTCCCATCAGCAAATGAAACATCTAACATCATTCCAGCTGCTACTGATGACGTCGTCATCACGTGACCGCCACTAATATTATTACTATTATTAATATTAAAAATTGTATTATTATTATTGGTGATCCACAGTTAGCTATCCTCCATGTTCCTGGAGTTCACTCGTCTCATGTGGCTCTTCAGGTTGCCCTTCTGAGTGGAGCGCTGGTGGCAGACTGGGCAGAGTTGGGGCTTGAACCTCGGATGTCTGAGACTGGATGATCAGAGTGCTCTTCTGGTTGAACCTCTTGTCGCATTTTTTGCACTTGAATGGCTTCTCACTTCATTTTCCGGACTCCAGGCTCTCAAAAACCGACATTCTGGTGAAAAAGTGAAAATAAGATTGGATTCTAAAGAAATTATCAGCTAGTGATGTAAATTTGCTGAATTGATCGAGTGTTCCTCCAATCTATTGTTATCAAATACTAGAGTACGTTTGGTTTGTTGTTGCCGGTGTTGTTGCAGTGATTGTTGATGCTGCACTGATGTTGTTGACACTTTGTTTAGTGGCGACATTTTTTGTTGAGATGTTGTTATGCAACTGTCGCCTCGAAATCGATTTGGTTTTCTTTGTTGTTCTTTTCTTTTCAACTATTTTTTTAACAAACTTTTTAACGCCGGCGGCATTTTCATTATTATTTTTTACCTTATTATTATTATTTCTATTGACGATAACGTGACAAGAATCGATTTAGTCGCCAGCTTCTTTCTGACCGTGTCTAGTAGAAAGTTTCTTGCAATGGGCCCAACGTCATCAACAACGACAACATCACTGCAGAGTTGTTGGTGGTTGATGTCTACACCACCATCGACCACATCCGCCGCATCGCTGGTTTTCATGTTGATAAGATCACCAACTGATATCAGGTAATCTCTGAGATCTGACTGCAGCTGGATGACAAGGTTTTGTTGTTGCGGTAGTTGTAGGTTGAAGATCTGATTCCGAGGCAGTTGCAGCAACTGAATTTGTTGTTGCTGTTGTTGCGGTTGATGTACTTGTTGTAATATATTGGGAAGGACAAAGTGGTTTTGTGAGTTGATGTTGTTGCTGTTGTTGACAATAATCAGTTGCTTTTGGTTGTTGTTGGTGTCAAGTTGTTGTTGAATGATTTGTTGTTGGTTAATGTTTGTTGCAAGTTCACGAACTGTTGAAGTTGTTGTTGAGGTTGTTCAATCATTAATTGTTGAGACAGGAATTGTTGTTGATCTTCTCGTTGATGTTGTTGTTCTTGTTTCTGCTGTTCTTGTTGCTGCTGCTATTGTTGGTTCATGATCTGAGAATAAGAAACATCCACGCAGATATTTTTCAACAACTTGATGGCTTCATTGCCGATGACGACGTTGACAGAAACATCGTCGTTGTTGTTGTTGGTGATGATGTTGTCGTCCATGTTCATGCTGTTGTTGTTGTTGTCACTGATGATGTTATTGTTGCCGTTGTTGATGATGTTGTTGTCGAGGATGTTGTTCAAGTTGTCGAAGTTGTTGTCGGCACTATTTAAAACGAGAACTTTTTGCTAGTGGTGAAATATTAGTGGAAAGAAAAGTTAATGAAAATTAAAAATGAAACAAATGACACTGTAGTTTTTTAAATAAAATAGTATAACGAATTTTAATGACGACATTTCTCAAACGAAAATTTACCAAACAAGCCTGCATTAAAACACTTACCTCTCTCTTGTGTTGTAAACAAATCATCAAGTATGGCTCACGCACACGCGTATGCACATGTGTGTGTGTGTGTATGTGTGTGTGATTCCAATCATATGTGACAGTATGCAAAAATACAGGAAAATTTAATATAGGAGGATTGGATGATGTTTAATTTGGAAAAAACTCGACAAAAACCAACATTATTATGTTGACCGAGTTGTTTCTCAGCAAATGAAAAATTGTCAACATTTCTATCAACAAATATGCTGTCGTTGAAGAACAACAACGGTTGTTGTTGTATTGACAATTGTTGCTGGTGATCTATGGATTGTAGTTGCTGATGTTGTTGTTACTGCTGCTTGATTGTAAAATGTTGTTGCTGTAATTGAGATCGTTGTTTCTGTTGCTTTTGTTGTTGTTTTTTGTTGGCAACAGTTTGGCTAATCGTTGAAATTTGTTGGCTGTCTACCGGCAACAGTTGAATGTTGATGTTATTAGGATTAGTCGAGACATCGTCTAATGACGTCGACAAACGTTGTTGTTAATGGTTTTTTGTTGTTATTTTTGTTGTTGTTTTTAGTTGTTGTTGTCGTTGCTAGGAGGATGTTGTTTGATTTATTGAATAGGAATCCAGTTGTTGTTTTAGTTGTCGACGATGAAGAAGATGTTTGCGTTTGTAGATGGTAAGACATGTGGCATTTCATGTGCCCTGTTTAGTTGTTGCGCTTGTAACAGGACGGTCTCTCAGAAGATTTCAAATCAAGTGAGTATTTAAAACCTTGATTTAAATTTAATTTGTTTACTCATCCATTCATTTACTCTTTCACTCAAACCAACTCACCACGTCAGTCAGCTAGCCGGTCAGTTAGTCAACTAATCAACTAGCACAATAACAAACGAACCTGATGTTCTGAGCCTCTGATCACAGTACAGGTATTTGAAGGGACGGAACCCTATGCATGTCAATCAAGTCACTCAATCAGCATTCGATCAAAATATTTACGTATCTAATTCAATACAAATTCAATAATTCAACCAATCAACCTGTATGCAGTCTCATATGCACCCTGAGGCTTCCCTTAGCGGAGAATGTTGACCCATAGACATGGCACATGAACTTCTTCGGTCCTGTGAGGAATTTTGAAGGTAGTGCAGAAGGTACTTTAATAAGTTAGCATGGATGTGCACAAATATACGAGTATAGAAACATGAATAAAGCTATACACAGAAAGGTACATACAATTATCATTATTGTTACTATCATCAATTTTTAAAATATTCTCAAAAGCATCACACACGCACACATACACACACACTGTATCTGAAAAGCGAAGATTTCTTCACATTCGAATCCAGTCACTACAACAAGCGCCTTAATGCACACACAAACCTACACTAACAAACTCTCACACGTACATACAAATACACATATACAAACAAAAGTATCGAATACCAAACAAACACACACACATGCACACACACTCATACACATACACACACATACACAATTAGTATAAAGAAGTACAAACTCTTATAATGGGTATTCACATGGTAATCTAGGGTCGATTTCACTGTAAATGTCCGCTTGCAGAATGTGTAACTGTAAGGTTTCTCTCCTGATGTTATATCAATTCATCCTTGCATTCTTCATTCATCTAATCAGCCACTTGCTCATTCTTTCTTTTGTTCATTCATTTATTCATTCACTCACAATTTCTCGATTTGTTGTTGTAGTTGTTGTTGGCGTATGTTGGATTATTGCTATTAAGGCTGTTGTTACTGCTACTGCTGTTGTTTATATTGCAATTGTTGATGACGTCATTGTTATTGTTGTTGTTATTGCAATTAAAATCAGTATCGTTACTGTTGTTATTATCATCGTCACTCTAATCATCACTATCCGCGTTTAAACGTTTCATCAACTGAGTGAATGTGATAAGAAAAAAAAACCTTTCAAATTATTTTCAATGTCATTTTATTCATAGTAATAAATCATTATCAGTAATATCATCATAATCATCAACGTAATTATCATCCTCAACGTCGTCGTCATCATCATCGTCATCATTACATCATCATCATGAACGTCGTCATCATCAGTTTTCTTATCAATGTTATCTCCGACCTTATCAGTTTCCTTCCTAACTTCCATCAGGACTCTTCTGCTTAATGGATGGAAAGCTAATCATCTAGAAATGATGACGACGACGATGATGAAGGTGATGATGAAGAAGAAGATGATGATGATGAAAACGATTATGATAATGATGGTAAGGACGATAGTAATTACATCATCATCATCATCATCGTCATCATCATCATCATCATCATAACAATAATAAGATAAGAAAAAAATAAAAAAAATCATGGTAACAACCGCCACCGGAACTCTTCAACTTTTGACCATCATCACCACCACCACCGAGAAAAAGATCATTATCATGAGCATCGTCGCCAAAGACACCAGCATCACCACCACCACCACCATTCTTAACGTCATTTTCGTTAAACTTGTTTCTAAACAAAGAATTTTGTTGTTGAGCTTTTTAGAAAATTTTCTCCTGTTGTTGTTGCTGTTGTTGTTGTTGCAAATGTTTTTTCAGCCTAATCATGTTTCTGAAGGTTAGAAGGCATATCTTGCAGGCGTAATGAGGGAGTGATGTTGTCGTTTTATTGTTGCCTGTGAGGATGTTGTCAACATTGTTGTTGTTGCCGACATTGTTTATGATGATAGCGTTGATGTCGTTGTTCTTGTTGTTTATGTCGGGAAGAAATATACTTTCATCTTTGATGAACGTCAAACCTTCAAACGCGTTGTTGCCGTTATGTTGCTTAATTCATTGTTGTTGTTGTTGACATCAGCAACATTACTATGTTGTGTTGCAAAGTGTTTCAGCAACACGTCTATGGAGTCAAAGAGCGACAAGCAACTGTTGCACTGATACATGTTCTGCTGGTCAGTATATTCGCCTGCAACGCTCAACAACAGCTGCCCGCTAGCATTCTCAACGACATCTCATTCAAACTGACCTATCTGACCTGATGAAGTCATTGCAGGTAAACAAATTTATTTGTACGAATAATTTGTGCTGATGTCAATAAGATAAACAAACTGCTTTTGACAATCAACATCAACCAATAATTTGTGCTGATGTCAATAAGATAAACAAACTGCTTTTGACAATCAACATCAACCAACCACCCAGCCAGTCAGCCAGCTAGCCAACCAACCCAACTAACCAACCAACCAACCAACCAACCACCCAGCCAGCCAGCCAGCCAGCCAGCCAGCCAACCAACCAACCCAACCAACCAACCAACCAGTATGCATGTTGAGATGTTTCTGAATGCCATCGAAATCCTCGCACACATCTTCACATAGCATGCACTTGTACAAGACATTTTCACCTTGACCTAGATTTGAAGATGTTGTTGAAGCTGATTCTGTTGTTGGTTTTGTTGCTGCGCGTGCTGTGTGGCGCAGTGGAAGGTCACTTCATGTTTGTGGACCTTGATGTGCTTCTTGCAGTTGACGCGCGTCTTGAAGGCTTTCTGGCAGTATGGACAGATAAAGTCCCGGTTCTGCAAAAAAAAATGAATGGATGAATTAATGAAAGAATGAAAGGATGAGTGAATGAACGATAGATGGATGAATGAATGAATGAACTACTGGCCTATGTGCCGTAGGTGAATAGATTGTTGGATGAATAGAATAAATCATAATCATTATCAACAACATCATCAACAACATACTCTTCCTCATCAACAACATTATCATCAACAACATCATCAAAATCATCGTCAACAACATCAACAACAACAACATGTCCACCGATACATGCATTCATCATCATTTTGTTTCAAATGCTTTTGCAATTTGGCCCATTTTTCGAATGAACAACTACACTGATCACATGTAAACAACTTTGTTGTTGTTGTTGTTGCTGTTGGTGATGACGTTGCTGTTGTTGATGTATTTGTTGTTGTTGCATGACGTTGTTGTTGATGTAGGAGAAGAGTTGATGCAGATATATTGTTGTTGATGTTGTTGTTTTGAATAAAATTATTGCTGTTTATGGCATTAATGTTGTTTTTGATGTTGTTGTTGTTGTCTGCAATGATGTTTGAGTAACTGTATTGCAATGTTTGGTTGTTGTTGTTGAATATCTGTAGGCTGTTTTTGTTGTTTATATTATTGTTGTCTGATACGTTGTTAACAATGTTGTTGTTGTTGTTAATGTTGTTGCTGTTGATAGTGTTGTTGCTGATGTTGTTGACGTTGTTGTTGTTGTTGCTGTTAAGATTGCTGATGTTATTTGTTAAAAAATTGTTGTTGTTTGTTGAATTTTCATTCACAATGCTGTTATTGACGTTGTTGTTGTTAAAGTGGCTGATGTTATTGCTGTTGCTCAACAAGAGGACGTTGTTGAGATTTGTTGAGATCAACTGAAGACTTTTGAAAAGTTGATTCAAGTCTATGTTGTTCAGTCGGATCAGGTTGTTGTTGTTGTTGATGATGTTGTTGTTGATGCTGTTGTTCAAATTGTTGATGTTAGTGTTAACATTGTTGAGAAATGAAATGTTGTTAATGCTATTGATGTTGTTGTTGCTATTGATGATGTTGTTGTTGTTGTTGAGTAAACTGTTGAGATCCATTAGCTGAACTTTCTACATTTGTTGCTGTTGTCGTTGCTCTCCAGGTCTAAAGTTGTTTTTTATTCAATACACAATTGAATAATAAATAAACGAAACTGCCAGCCAGCCAGCCAGCCAACCAATTGACAAACCAACCAACCAGCCAACCAACCAGCCAACCAACCAGCCATCCAAACAATGAACTGTCTGACCGGCCAACCAAACCACCAACCAACCAATCAAATCAAAAAAGCAAATCAGCCAGCCAATCAAACAAACCTCACATCACTAGCATTTGTTGGTGTCATCGGTTGAATAATAAACAAACGAAACTGCCAGCCGACCAACCAGTCAACCAACTGACCAACCAACCATCCAACCAACCAACCAGCCAACCAACCATCCAACCAGCCAGCCAGCCAACCAACCAAACAATGAACTGTCTGACCGGCCAACCAAATCACCAACCAACCAATCAAATCAAAAAAGCAAATCAGCCAGCCAATCAAACAAACCTCACATCACTAGCATTTGTTGGTGTCATCGGTTGCAATATGTAAACCTATAAATAAAGCATACATAAATATACTATATACAATTATAAAATAGAAGAGAAAAAAGATAGGTAGATAGATAGAGAGAGAGAGGAGAGAGAGAGAGAGAGATCGAAAGAGAGAGAGGGAGAGAGAGAGACATTATTATTAAACGAGCTGTATGAGTTCAAAGCATCCATTTTCTCTTGTCTATTTTATTTTTTTATCTATACAATCTTTCTATTTCAAATTTTATTTAATTGTGAAATTTGCTAAGAAATTTGAAGCCAAGATGACGGAGTCGGATAGAAATTTTTCTTTGACTCCTTGATAGAAAATTTAACAACTAGGTAAAAATTTCCGGCTTCAACTTCAACTCTTCGTTCCAACTCTCAGAAAAAATGTTCAACGTTTGCTTTATATTTTTACTTGAATATCACTACTAAATCAAAAATATTTCAAAAAACATTTATGAACTGTTTTATTTAGTAAAATTATTTTCTATTTTTGTTTTATAGTGTGTTGAAAGATATTTATGTGATTTTATTCCCATTGTTGTGCACTGCTTATTTTTTGTGGCCTTACTGTGAAAATTACGTCGTTGTTTTTTCAGTTTAAGAAAAAATGACAAAGATTTAAATAACTTAATGGAATTAAGAAATATTTTAAACTGTGGAATAAATATTAAAGTTTAGTGAAAAACTTTAAAACCATCATAAGCCATGATACATCAGCATAATCAAGAGTACGAAATGTTATCACAACATTACAGTCTTGAGAAATTGAATCAAACACAATCATAAGGTCGTATTTACTATTTAGGGTTCAAGTTTAAAAAAAATCACGTATAAATATATAATTTTTTGACTCAAGTTACAAAATAGTCAACAGCACATACATCAATTTTTAAAAATGAAAATGGATGTTGAACGCATTTGATTCACTCAAATATATAGTTCAGTGGCTTGATTTGATAACATCTATTTTCAATATTAAAGATGATTGCTTATTGCCACACACACATATCTTCTAAAAATGGTAAACGAAAAAATAATTTTCAGGAAAAAAATTTAAGAAAAATCAAATTATTAACACTTTCCGGAGTAAGATGAAAAATATTCTACTCCTACTTCGGGACATAAAATATTTGCAACTATAAAAAAATAAAAGCATTGAGGAAGTTGGATGCACATGGAGAGAATTAATAAAACGATTTAATATATTCTGGTTCTATATCTAATAAAAACAGTGTGCCCTTGTGGATATGTTAGTATATATGGTTAAAGTTATTTTAACATTTTTTAACAGTATTTATTTCTAAAAAGTATTTAAGTTAAAAATGTAAAATAATATAAGTTTGTTTATTGATTTTGATGTTGGATCATCAAAGGCTAGGCCCACCGCTTATAACTGTGGTTGCGTAAGGAAGGGCGTCCTGCGTAAAAACTAACCAAAAAATATTACTTATGATGACGGAAATAACAATGGCTTTCAGTATTCGGCAGAAGAGGGTGCGAAGAATCTCCGGAGACCCAGTCCATGGGGTTGTGGTGCAAGGCCCTGTGGATGGTCTGGCTACTGGCACCCCACTCTATAGTGTGGCGGTGCAAGGACTACTTGTAGACCAAGGGGTTGGAGGTTTGGTACCTGGAATGTAGGCACGTTGACAGGAAGAAGTTTGGAAGTGGTGGAGGAGCTGCAGAGGAGAATGGTTGACGGGCTGCATTACAGGAAATCAGATGAAAGGATGAGGGTACAAGGTTTGTGGGGGCTAAAGGTGGAAGATATAAGTTGTGGTGGAAGGGGGATGATGGTACGGGAGGAGTTGGTGTGATGGTAAGAGAAGAGTTGGTGGAGAAGGTGTTGGAAGTGAGGCGGAGAAGCAATGGTGTAATTGTGGTGGTGATGGTGTTTGGAAAAGTAATAGTGAGGGTGATATCAGGATATGCTCCGCAACAAAGTAGGAAGGAAGAGGAGAAGGATAGGTTTTATGATGATGTTTCTGACGAGATTGGGCAAGCGGGGTTGAATGAGTTTGTGGTGTTGTTGGGTGATTTGAATGGTCATGTGGGGGCGGATGCAGACGAATATGAAGGTGTACATGGGGGATGGGGATATGGTATACGGAATGAGGAAGGGCATAGAGTGTTGGAGTTGGCGGATGCACATAGCATGGTGGTGGGGAATACTTGGTTCACAAGGGAACCAGCGCGATTGATTACTTATAGGTCAGGGGAACATAGATCGATGATAGACTATATATTGGTAAGGGCCAAACATAGGAAGTATGTGAAGAATGTGAAGGCGATACCTGGTATGTTGCAGCATAGTATGGTTGTGATGGATGTGACATCAAAAGAAATGGAGAGGAGGAAGAAGGATAAGTTTGTGGCAAAAAGAAAAACATGGAAGTTGCAGGATGCAGAGGTGAGGAAGGCATTTGAAGTGAAGGTGGCTGAAAATTGGGAGAGTGGTAAGGATGGAGATGTTTGGGAGAGATACAGGGACTGTGTGTTGGCTACGGCAGATAAAGTATGTGGATGGACGAAAGGAAAGTGTAGGCATGGTGAGACGTGGTGGTGGGATGAAGATATAAGAAGGGTTTTGGAAGTCAAGAAGGAGAGGTTTAGGGTATGGAAAAGAGACATGACGGAGGAAGCGGAGTCTGAGTATAGAAAGGCTAAGAAGGTTGCAAAACAGGCAGTGGCAAATGCAATGACGAAAGCATCAGATAGGTTAATGAAGGAAATGGAATTTGATGTGAGTTCGAGGAAAATGTTCAAAGTAGCAAATCAGTCAATGAGGGATAGGAAAGATGTTATAGGGAATGGATGTGTTTGGGATGGATCTGGCAAATTGTGCATAGATGAGGAGGAAAAAACTCAGGTGTGGAAAGCTCATATGGAAAGGTTGATGAATGAAGAGAATGAGTGGGATGGAGATGTCACACACGGACCTATAGAGAAGGTGACGATGGAGGAAGTAGAGAAAGCAGTTAGAGAAATGAAACTAGGTAAGGCTACAGGGGTTTCGGAAGTGGCGGCAGAACATATAAAAGCGAGTGGGGTGATAGGAATTGAAGTTATGATGAGAATTGCTAACAGTATGTTTGATGATGAAGGTATACCTGAGGATTGGCGACACAGTGTGTTAGTGCCGTTGTATAAGGGCAAAGGAGATGTGAAAGATTGTGGGTCATATAGGGGTGTGAAATTACTAGAGCACGGAATGAAGGTAGTGGAGAGAGTGCTTGAGAGGAGGTTGAAAAGTATGGTGACAGTATGGTGGTATTGAAAGAGTGGAAAGCTTTGTTTACTTAGGGGATAAGCTGAATGCGGATGGAGGATGTTTGAGCGCAGTTACGACTAGAGTTCGTGTGGGATGGATGAAATTTAGAGAACTGGGTGGGGTATTGTGTGGAAAGAAATGGTCAGTGAAGATGAAAGGGAGGGTATATAAAGCATGTGTGAGAGCAGCGATGGTATATGGTGGTGAAACTTGGGTGTTGAGGAGAGAGGAGGAAAGTGTACTTCAGAGGGCTGAAAGAGCTATGGTGAGGATGATTTGTGGGGTTAAAGTGAAGGATAGGAGGAGTAATACAGAGCTGATGTCAATGATGGGACTGAATGAGGACATTGTGACATTGATAAGGAGATCGAGATTGCGGTGGTATGGACATGTGTTGAGAAGGGATGAAATGGTCGGGATTAGGCGAGCGTTGGAGTTCGAGGTTGAAGGAGTGGTAGGAAGGGGTCGTCCGCGATTGGGATGGAGAGAGCAGGTGGAGAAGGACAGGGTGAAAGCGGGGTTGCGTGATACTGAGGCGAGTGACAGATGTGGATGGCGTCGAAGGGTATTTCGGTTTCATCATAGGTAGCCAAACGGCAACCCTCGATCTCGGGGAAAATGCCGTCTAAACGTGTGTTGTTGTTGTTATTGATTTTTTGATACACCACTACTCCACTAAGAGTGTCGATACGTTTAATTAACGGTTAATCAACGGTGCAATGAATTTTTAGTCTTTTTTATTGCGGCTCTGACATACGCAGAACCACTTACAAGGTTATATATAACATACAATGTTATATCTATTTATCGTTATTTTGTTCTTCATATCTTCATCCAATGGTTTGAAGGAGCCATCTTCGCCACAAAGGCTGTTTATCCTTTTCACACGACATACACATGAGTATATGATAGCCACTGAGATGTTCACTCAATGCGCATTTGAACCACTGAGCCATCTCCCCTGCTAAACAAACCGGCTAAACATGCGACAACTTACGTTCTTTCTCCATTTACCGACTTCGAAAGGATGGACGGCTGGGTTAGCCGGGGGTCGGCAACCCGGATGAACCTGCAGAAACTGCGGGATTCGAACCCGGTCGTGGAAGTAGTAGACGAACACGCTAACCACTCGGCCACGAGACCCTGCAAGTGTTAAATTAAACTTTTAATCCGAACAATTTTTTACTAAATAATAAATTTGTATTAATCATTTAGTACTTGGAATATATAATTTATACTCAGAATAAACCCAAACAAAAACTTATAGTATACTTAACACACAAACACACACACACATATATATAAATATATATATATGATATATATACATATATATATACATATATATATATATATACACACACACAAGTATTTATTTACTTTTTTGTGCTTTTTCAAATATATATATATACATATATAAGCGCCAACTCGGCGCTTAACCAAAAACGAAAACAAAGAAGTAATAAAAACTAGCATCGTAAATAGTGACAAAGAAGAATATGATGCTATCGATGAAGAAAAGGAGACCAAAGAAGATGACCAGCCAATAAAGAAACCTGACACCTAATTCGCATCAAAGTTCAATTTTACAACACCAAAGTTAATTTTTACAACGTCAAAGTTCATCTTGACAGTCAATATTTCCCTATATATATACAGCAAGGAGCACTGATGACGATTCATTCGGAATCGAAATATGGCCTTATTTGCAGCATGAATTCGAAAAATAAGTTTATTTTGAATTTTAATAAACTAAACGTTCACCAAAAAACTTTAGTGAGAAAAATCGAAAAAACGAACTACAAACATATTAACGCCAAACATTCGGTTGAATTTATAGAATATTGTAAAAATTATGGTCTATTACCAACCTATATATATATATATATATATATATATATATATATATATATATATTGGTAACAGACTGTTGTTAACGCAACATTTCAAAAATTCAACACTACTGTTCAACTTTTTTCTAAAAAAGTTGAACAATGTGGAAAGTAGTGTTGAATTTTTGAAATATATATATACATATATATATGCAATGTTCTAAATTATCGTTTTGAAGTGTACGACGTTCAAAATCGACTTTATCTAATCAATGTCATTTACTAAATATAGATGCATTCTTTTTTAGATATTATTTTGACAGAGATAACGATTTACTAAATATAGATGCATTCTTTTTTAGATATTATTCTGACAGAGATAATGTGTTAACAATTTTATTCCGAGTATGTATATATATAAAAAGAGGGTCATAAAAAACCACTTAACTAGACAGAAAAAATAAAAATAAACAAATTTCAATAAAATGTACGTCGACACGGAAAAATAAGTTTGAAAAATCATAGTTAACATTAATAAAGACCATCATTTTCGCGAAATAATACTATAAGAAAAACCATTTAAATAAATTTCGATAAATTGATAGTTATAATAATATTGATAGTTATTTAATAGTTAAAAATTTGTTAAAGTCAACAGAGAGCAGTTGATTTTTGAAGACAGCATATGAGGTTGAACAGACGACATCTGCTGGCAATATTCGAATGATTCGGTTGCAGAAGAAATATTTAGTTGAGTTGTCACTAAGATTCAAATCACGCAATTTACTTTGATGTCCCCGAGTTGATATGTACAGTGCTGGAATGAAATTACTATTTAGGTCTGTTTGAACGAGGTTATGAAGTATTTTGTACAGAAGGCATAGATCAGAAATTAACCTCCAACGTTCCAAAGTATGCATTCCAACTGCATGCAGTCGAGATAGGTATGGGAGATGATGTAGAGACCGGATAAACTTTGTAAATCTTCTCTGTACAACTTCAATTTCGTTTATTTGGTATATGTAATGTGGACGTACATGTGTGCAAAGGCTTTGATAAGTAGGTCTTTATCCTTTGAGGTAAAACATCTGGCGATTAACCGTGCACGAGAGGAAGCTGTATGAGCAATATCGTTGATATGAAAATTAAAATTAAGTTGGTTGTCGACAATTACACCAAGGTCCTTACAGTGATCCATGCGTGATAAATCGTGATGAGAAACTGTATTAGATCTAGTTGAAGAAAGAAATGTGCAATGGGAACATTTGTCGGGAGAGAGTGGTAGCTGCCATTTTGCATTCCAAGGAACTATATCATTGATCACTTGTTGAAGTTTGATTGAGTTGAATGAATGGCGGTACAACTTGATGTCATCCGCGAAAAGCAAAATCCTTACAGAATAGGATGAGGTACAGTCAGCTATATCGTTTATGAAAATCAGGAATAGGGTGGGTCCCAGGACGCTACCCTGCGGCACACCACTGT